AAATTAATTCGAGAAAGCAAAAATGCGCAGTTATCTTCAAGAATTAATTTGAATGAGTTCCCGATTGAATTTTTAGCTGAAATTTGGTACGAGTAAACTAGACTTGGTGAATAAGATGCTCAAAAAATTTCATCAAAAAATTCCACCGGGAACTGCCCCAAATCGCGACGGCCGGACAGAACCTCCTATAGAAGAACTTAATTGATCTTTTTATGAAAGTTCGAGGACCTATTTGACAGTTTTCCCTAAATAATTGTGTCATTGCTTAAAAACTTCCAGGACCCTTCTCCGGACCTCACCTTGCAGGGATGCCTGGACTGCCTTTTTATTGGACTGCCCTTTTTATTATTTGCTTGCTTGCAGGGCTGGGCTAGGCCGGGCCTGTCCTGGCTGGGTAGGGCAGGGCTGGGCTGGGCCTAGCAGGGCAGGGCTAAAAAGTGTACAAATTTTGACCTAGTATGTACCATTATTTATTTGTCTCACACTATTATCAGGGGTGTTCATGTGTGAACATCCAAAATTTTAAGTTAAGCGTAGAAATAGATGTATAGAATTGATGTGATAATTTATATATTGTACTACTCCGTATTAGATAACATTTTAATGGTAAAGCAATTTCGAACACCTAACATTTAGTTGCAAGATCCGCCAGACCGCCACGGACCATCATGATTGTAAAATTTGAAGTTTATGACTGAACTTTTTGTTGTATGGCCTAACTATACAGACAAAAAACGTAGGTGCTAGATTTTTTGAAAATGTGTAAAAAAGTCTAGGATTTTTAGCGTGTTAAAAGTTACAAACCTAACTGTGTCGAAAACGCAACTCTTAATCGTGTTAGTTCAATTTTAATAGTAACACTTCATATCAATACGAGCAATAACTGTGGGACTAAAACTATAATTTCCCTCAAAATAAAAGAATATAAAAAATTGGCTTTTTTATTTTTTTTCAAGAATGAGCATATGTATGAATTAAGACAATTTATTGAAATCATTAGAAATAAATGTTAGAAAATGTTTCTTGAAAAAAGAAAACAAACAGAAAAGGAAACAACGGAAAAATAAGAAAACTAAAAATACAAATTGTTGGAAACTTAAATGATAGGATGAAGAAAGGAAAAAATAAAGAAAATAAATGCATGATAGGCCAAGCTTGAGAAAGAAGAAAAATTAAAAATAATAATCTCAACGGTTGCCGGTCCGCCGTTAATATTCCCAACAATCAATTATTCCTGGATGATCCTGATTAATGATTATAAGAATCATTATCTAAAAATGGTCTCTAACATGTTACAACTTGGTATTACAGGTCATTTTTAAATGTGAACTATGTGTAAAACCAGTCATCCATATTATCAAATAAATCCTTGTCATCTTCGGTAAATTTACCAAGAGCTTTAAATAATCTCAACTATAAATCACCTTTTTTGTTAATCTCATTTATCAACTCTCAATTTTCAGAAGATATAGAAATTTCTTATAAATTTATGAACAAAATATTTTTAAGCATGAAAGGTTAATTAAAAATATTCTACAAATGTACTGAAATTAAAATAAATAGTCATTTTTTATTTATTTTCACTATTTTGTTTTTGTTTTCCCAATTTTTTTTCACAATCTTGATACCAATTTATGATTTAGTAACTTATTCAAATTTAAATTTTCTATTTTCAAAAAGTAAATTGTAATTATATTTTTTACAATTTAGATCTTTATTCTAACTTAATCTAAAAATCTAAATTTTCTATTTATTCCATTTAAGTATTTTTTATTTCTACCAATGTAAAAATGTGAATAGCTTGAAATGACGGTAAAAATTGTTTACCAAAAGTCCACATTTTTTCTACCCATCAAAATTGTTAGGATTATAAGTACCATTTTGATACACATTTTCTACGTTTTTACAATTTCCGTTATATCACTTATAATATTAATACATTTTTATTAAATATAGTCAAAACCTCCAAAACCTATACCCCAAATCACCAAAATTAAATGATAAACAATATGCTATCATTTATAGTAGTAGAATATAATAATATAACATAAAGAAAATAGAAAGAAACTAGAAATACTAATATGGAAAATAGAACATTTAGGTTTCTAGAATTAAGATAGCATAAAAAATAAATAAAATTTTAATCATTATTCACTTTTTGAAAACAGAAAATGTAATTTTGAATAAAGGAAAATAATACAAAATCATAAATTGGTAACACAACCGGGAAAAACAAATTGCAAAAAAGGAAAAAACAAATAGTGGAAATAAATCAAAAATGAATAAAAATATTTTATTTAAGTTCGGTACATTTGTATGATTTTGTAGTTGTTTATACATGTTTAAAATACATAGTTTGGAAATTTATAAAAATATTTTTACATATTCAAAAAATAGTTGAGATTAATAAAAAAAGGTCAACTATAGTTGGGATTATTTAAAGCTTACACATAATCCACATTGAAAAATAACCTGCTATACCAGGTTTAACAGGTTAGGGACTGTTTTTGAAAAATAATCCCTATAGGTTGGACCACTCAGAAATAATCGATAGCTGAGATTATTAACGGAGGATCAGTAATAGTTGAGATTAGTGTTTTCAATTTTTCTAAAAAAATGGAGGAGTGTGTAGCAAGAGAAGAAATGAAAAAGATAAAAGTTAAAAGATAAAAGTGTGTAAACAATATCCTGCTATAGGTGTGTTTTTTAATCAATTAATTTATTTGATTGCTTTAAGTAAATAAATGCATTCGTGTTATGGTTTTTTAGTACATAAACTTATGTTAAAGAGGATGCTTTGAATTCAACATAAATAACTCTAGCAGGTGATGGTAGTGGCTCAAATGGTGAGAACAATGTCGAGTCAAAGTCATTGAAGAGGCACCCTAGGCAGAGATCAAAGGTTAGTAAACTGCAATACATCGCTGAACTAGAAATAAGAGTTGACTCTTTCAAATGATGCTAGATAATTAATTGAGTCCATTAACTTCAAAAAAAAGTGGTGCATCCATTAGGCTCAAATATTCTGTATAGTGCACCTCCAGAAATGTTTAAAGGGATTACGGTGTCTAAAGCACACTTATTTGTTCTAGCTAATACATACATAAAGAAAGCATAAAAAATTAAACTCCTTTGATCAAAAGAAATGACATGTCTGCATGAATAAGACAAAGAGCAACCCCTTTGTCAAAAAGTTAAACTCCTTTGGTAAAAAAAAATTGTACTTAGTATGTTTTAGCTATGAAGAATCATTGGTCACTGTTAACCCTAACTTCAGCAACCCAAACAATTCCAGCAACCTATATGATTCTAGAAATTCACAAATTAAATATGCATTAGTCTTGCATATTTTATTTGATTTAATAAGGCCAAGCTTCATGATTTTTGATTAATTCTTTCATCTGATGTATTCTACCCTCTCGTATTAAATTGAATATGAAATACTCAACAGGGAAGTAACGGAACGATGAATCAAAGCACGTAAAAATTTTACTACTCCAAATGCTTGGAATCCGCTTCTTTCTTCCATAAAATAGAGGATAATAAAAGTTGACATACCTGAATAGCCAACCTTCGAACAGAGTTTACCGCCGCTTCAGTCTTCAGCAATTTGAGGGAAAAAACTCTCCAAAATGAGGGTTTTATCCACCTACGTGTGAAAGAAAGTTTTGATTTCCCTCTCTTTTTCGATCATCACGCTTTTTTCGTGAAATTTGACGAGTCAGCCTGTGTAGAAGGCTTTCTACACACACAGCACCCTTCACCATGTCTACTCATTTTTTTGCCAACTCAGCGAAATGTAATTAAAGACTACATGCATTGGAGGTAGGGTTGGATTCGGTTCGGGCCACCCGGCCCGTGACCCGGCCCGGCCCGGTACTGTGCGGGCCCGGGACCGGCCCGGTCGGGCGATCCGGGACCGGGTATGGACCCGAACCGGTGGGAAGGGGCGGGGCGGGCTCGGTGCTGGATTATTGTGACCCGGCCCGGCCGGGTCGGGCCCGGGTCTAATTTAAAAAAAAAATTGGTTTGGGCTACTAGCCGTTGGGGGTGGGGTTGGGGACAACCCAAACGGCTATATAGCCGTTGGGTGGGGTAAAGGGGGGGGTCCGGGGGGGTTGGCTGGTGGGGGGGTGGTGGGGTGGGGGGTGGGGGGGTAAAAAAACCTATAAATACTCCTAATCTTAAACATTTTTTCATATCTCTTCTCCAATTCTTCCTAAATCCTATTCTTAACTCTCTACTCTCTAATTCTCTTATTCTCCAATATATTATATTTATTATTTATATATCTACTTTATAGTTTATGCTTAAGAAGTTAAGATGGAAAATCAAGATGCTATTATACGGTATAATTTTGATAAGCAGTAGGACCCGAAGACCGGGATGTGGTACGCAATTTGCAAATGGTGCGAGAAAAGATGTAGCATGGGGGTTTTTGGCGGATTCGGAATGGCAATCAAGCATATGAAGTGATGTGACAAAGCCAAAGGATCGGGAGGTGCGGGAAGTTCCGATTGATTACAATTTTCAAAATGTTTATCTGTTAAAGTTTGTTTTAATTTTCAAATGTAGTTCCTATTTCATTTCAAATAAATGCAATTGAAGTTTGTTTTGAATACTCGTATAAAACTATAAACTATAAAATATAAATTATAAAAAAAAATTAACCAGCCCAGCCCGAACCGGACCCGACCCGTGACCCGGGCGGGTGGCCCGGACCGGACCCGTCCAACCCTCGGGCCGGTCCCGGGCCCATGTCATACTACCCGGCGGCCCGACCGGGCCTAGGCCCGGCCCGAGTCCATCAATAATTGGAGGGCATAATACATACACAATGTCTATTATTAATGAGGTGGCGTTTTTTTCATAGACTTAACAGTGCACATTGGGGATGCTCTTAAAGAAATAAAATCTGATTTCAATAAGTACGATGAAATAGCTTGACTGATAACAGCTAATAGGTACTTAAGAAATAAAATAACATGCAACAAGTAGGATTCTACAATTATCACCTACCCATTATCAAGTTACAGTTTACAAAAATGTACTTAAGAAAAAACTTTGATTTCTGCAGTGTAGTAGATAAAAGACACATCCAAAACTTTCATTTCTGTACAATTGGTGTTAAAATTGACTTATAGAATAAGTTATGTACAAGAGGGGTGTATAGAAACTGCTACTCTACTGTGATAATTGTAGTCAAAATTTAAAAACCAAGATCAAAGGAAGGAAAATCACTAATGCCAATGTTTTGAGGAATGGATATTGATGTGGGTTGATTGTGAACTGAGTTTTGTGATTTGAGCTGAAGCATTTTGGCAGCCTCTTGTTCAACCGCATCAAGATCAATACCGTTAAGAAAATCATCATCATCATCAAATAAATCCCTATTTTCTTTTTCACTGCGCTCTTCCACTGGCGGCAGGGGTGAGTTTCTGCCTCCTGCTCCATGATTCATCCAGAAATCACTCTCCAAATTCCGTGCAGGTAGTGGACTAGTTTCACTAAAGCTAAATTTTCGTTTTCGGCTCCCCACCTTGCCCTCTTTCTCTCCCAGCGAACATGCAGCAGTTCCACATGACATGGCTTCTGAACTTCGAGTTGTAGACTCTAAGCCTGTTTGGGGTGTTTGGTGATTCATTGTTCCCGATGAGCTTGAAGTTAAATTTGTCACACTCCTTGGAAGAGCATTATCTGGACTATGAAATCTGGAAGCTTTCGGCAACAGCTCCACAGGTGATTGAGTCAGTAAAGATCGCCTGCTATGAAAGAACAAAGTTAATAAATCGTGGAAGGATGATGTGAATTCAGTTACAGGAAAACTGCACTAAAAGAGACTTGTCAGTTAAAAGCGATTAGAAAAGGGATGTGAACATGAATAAGCATTGTTTCACAAGATTCAGAAAGCACAAAGACATATACAAGACCTGTAAACTGCCATCATGTCCATTCTACAAGAGTCAGCTTGTGTGTCTACTGCAGTAAGACTTATCCGGTCATCAATGAAACTATCATCATATGAGTTACAGTCCTCTTCTTCCTCATCATCAGATACCAAGCCTTCTGAAGAAACCCTGAATAAGAACAATTATTAAAGCAGCAGCTTAAAATAGAAAAGGATGAATGATTGCTCTCCTGACTTTTGACTTTATTTTCAATATAAAGGCGAAAATCCCCACCCAGATACTAGGTTTTCCTTAGCCGCTTCCGCTTCTGTTTTCTACAACCTCCGTCCCACTATGTTTGGACAAAGCAGTGTGGCATAACTTTTAAGAAAAAGTGGAATTGCGTGGTTGGTATTGGATTGATAAAGAGTGAATAAAGTAAGAATGAATTGTAACCACCCAAATATTATCAAATATGGTATGGGACAAACTTAATGGGACGAATGAAAAGGGTAAAGCGGGACAAATTTAGGAGACAGAGGGATTATGTTAGGGAGCACGAGATAAGTGGGCCTGCTTGGGAGCTCCAGACAAGTGGGCCGGTGCAGGAGGACAGGCCTCGGCCGTTATTGGTCTACCGACGCCGCCAGCGGGCCAAGATGGGCTGGGTCTTATTACTTTATTTCATTAATTGTTATTTCTAATAAACTGTTGGGCCTAGATGGCCTTATTTTATTATTAGGTTAAGGAGTATTTAAGGATGTCTTAAGAACTATTATCGTTAATAAACTTTTGGTTAAGCTTACGGTTGGAGCAGACGTTATCGTTTGCTAGGTTTTCTGCTTCTATCAATTTGGTCCGGCCTGTAGGATCCTATCCACCGCCCTACGTTCATCATGACTCGTTCCACCATTGATCAACGCATGGATGCGATAGAAGCGGACCAGAAGGACATCAGGGCAGAAGTGCAATCCACCAACGCCAAGTTGGATGCTATCACTGGCGCAGAAGGTTATGGCGTCGGGGGAACCGCTGGCTGATTCTGAGTCGGGAGGAGGAGGCACAGATGACTCGCAAAACTCCCACAACCCTAGGTCTGTGACCGCGCCTCTGACGCTACCAGCGTTTGAGGGGGCAGACCCGATTGGATGGCTCGTCAGGGCCAATCAGCAGTTTGAAATCCATCAGACCCGTCCTGAATTGAAGGTGGCGTCTGCCATGGTTGCAATGGAGGGTCCTGCTCTATATTGGTTCTCTTGGACACTTTCGCGGAAACCGAATATCACATGGGAGGAGTTTTCACAAGCTCTTGTGGTCCGTTTTGATACACGGTTTAAGGGGAGCACATTTGAACGGTTGGCTGACATCAAGCAGGTGGGGTCTGTGGATGATTATGTAAACGTGTTTGTTCAACTGGCCAGTCAGGTACCAGGTTTGAGTGATGTCCGCTACTTGGGGTACTTCATGAAAGGGCTGCGAGACACGATTCGTAGCTCCTTACGGCTTTTACGACCAGCTGATCTGGAAGCCGCTATGGAGTTGGCCAAGGATGTCGAGGACAACTTGACTGTTCAGTCCGGAGGGAGAGTGGAACGGGGTTACAATAGTCAGCAGTACCGTTCCAGTAGTTACAGCAAGGCTGGCGGGTTTTTGGGGTCTTCTTCCACCCCGACTATTGGCAACCAGGGGGTAAGGGGAAGCACAGCGTCCTCACGATCTCCAAGTCGTACGCCAGGAACCGGATCAGCAATGACGGGCCAGTCTGTTAATCGCTCTCGATTCACACGCCTCTCACCACAGGAGTTGGCAGATCTGCGCGCGAAAGGGCTTTGTTTCCGTTGCAAGAAGGTCTACACCCCCGGGCATGAATGTCCGCTAAAACAGTTAAGAGTAATGGTCACGGAGGAAGATGAGGAACTCGACCTCAGCCAAACTGAATTTTTTATTCCACCCGAACAGGTCGAGCAGCTAGGCGAACAGGAGGAACAACAGGCAGCAGCTTTGGACTTGCCCGTATATTCCATGGCAGGGATTTCTAGTCCCCGTACTATGCGACTCAAAGGCGTAACCGAGGGGTTAACAATGACCATCTTTGTGGATAGAGGCGCAAGTCACAACTTTATTTCAACAACCCTTGTTTCCCGACTCAAATTACGAGCAGAAAAGACGGGAAAGTTCGGTGTACAGCTAGGGGACAGGCGTCGCCAAGAATCAGAAGGGGTTTGCAAAGGGGTATCAATCTCGCTGCAGGGGTGCCAAATTCAGGCAGATTGTTACGTGTTCCCGTTGGGAGGAGTGGATATTATACTGGGAGTAGCATGGCTGGCAACCTTGAGAGAGGTCCAGACCAACTGGGATACGATGACTATGTCCTTTGATTGGCAGGGCAGTCAGGTAAAACTGAAAGGGGACCCGACACTCTGCCGGAAACAGGTGGGACTGCAGGCCCTACTTCGGACAAGGGATGTGGAATTTTGGTCGATTGTGATGGAGCCCACTACGATATTGAGGCCAAACAAGGAGCAAGTGGCTGATGTACTACGGGAGTTTGAGGAAGTATTTAGAGAGCCGAGGGACCTTCCCCCGCAACGACCTACAGACCACCGGATTGAGTTGGCACCCGGAGCATCCCTGGTATCTGTCCGGCCATATAGGTATGGGCATAATCAGAAAGATGAGATTGAAAACCTCGTGTCTGACATGCTAAGGGCAGGCATCATCAGGCCAAGTTCCAGCTCGTTCTCAAGCCCGGTTCTCTTAGTTAAAAAGAAAGATGACAGCTAGCGATTCTGTGTGGACTATAAAGAATTAAATAAGGTGACTGTTCCAGACAAGTACCTGATTCCAGTAATCCAGGAGATGTTGGATGAATTATCGGGAGCCGTAATTTTTTCAAAACTTGATCTCCGAGCTGGTTATCACCAAATACGAGTGGCTGAACGAGATATTTCTAAAACGGCTTTTCGTACTCATAGCGGCCACTACGAGTTTCTAGTGATGCCGTTTGGGTTAACGAACGCACCGGCCACCTTCCATTCCACGATGAATGATCTGTTCAGGTCGTTCTTACGAAAATTTGTCTTGGTATTCTTCGATGATATCTTAATCTACAGTCGGACAGTAGCTGAGCATCGTGTGCACTTAAAACAGGTGCTGCATATTTTGCACCAGAATCAGTTCAAGGTCAACAGAAAGAAGTGTGTCTTTGGGGGGTCCAAGGTAGAGTACCTTGGCCACATCATTTCAGCGGCAGGTGTGGAGATGGACCCTTCTAAAGTTCGTGCAGTAGTCGAGTGGCCACAACCGCGTTCTGTTCGGGATGTGCGCGGGTTTTGGGGGTTGGCGGGTTATTACCGTCGTTTTGTCAAAGATTATGGAATCATAGCGCGGCCTCGGACAACCTTATTAAAGAAAGACGCACCATCCAGATTTGAATGGAATAAAAAGGCAGCAGCTGCTTTCACTACCTTGAAGAGCGCGCTGACTGAAGCGCCAGTTTTGGCCATTCCGGATTTCAAGCGTCACTTTGTTATTGAGTGTGATGCTTCAGGTATAGAAGTAGGGGCAATCTTGATGCAAGAAGGACGTCCGCTTGCTTATTTCAGTAAATCATCGGTTGATCGCACCCTTACCAAATCAGCCTATGAACGTGAATTAATGGGGTTGGTATTGGAAATCCAACATTGGCAGCCATATCTCATGGGTCGTCGTTTTACAGTCCGCACCGATCACCACAGCCTCAAACATCTTCTCTCGCAGAAAATTGTGACTCCCTCGCAGCAGAATTGGGTGGCTAAATTACTGGGGTATGATTTCCAAATTGAGTATAAACCGGGAGTCTCCAATTCAGCGGCTAATGCACTCTCTAGAAGGGCTGAGGAGGGGTCGCTGACAGCACTGAGTGTGCCGGATTGGGCAGGGATGCGGGAGGTGTTGGAGGAACAAGGGCGTGATGAGTTTATTCAAAGCATTGTGACTGCCTTGAAGACTGACCCAGACAGCATTGTGACTGCCTTGAAGACTTCTGAGTGGATTCCAAAACTATGGCAAGAATTTCATGACACACCGGAGGAGGGCCATGCGGGGGCTCTCAGGACGTATCGGCGATTAGCAAGCAGTGTGTATTGGAAGGGCATGTTCCGTCAGGTGCAAGAGTATGTGGCCAAATGTTTGGTCTGCCAGAAATCAAAATATGAAGCAATGTCGCCGGCAGGATTACTACAACCGCTACCAATTCCAGACTTAGTTTGGGAGGATGTGGCCATGGATTTTATTACTTGTTTACCCAAATCTCAAGGGTATACGAGTGTTATGGTGGTGGTGGATAGGCCGTCCAAATATGGACATTTCATTGCATTAAAACCTCCAATTACAGCTCGGTCTGTGGCTGATATTTTTGTACGGGAGATTGTTCGGTTGCATGGTATTCCGGGATCTATAGCCAGTGATAGGGACCCACTATTCGTCAGTACCTTTTGGAAAGAAGTGTTCAAGCAGTCAGGTACTCACTGGAAGTACAGCTCCGCATACCATCCTGAAACGGATGGCCAAACGGAAGTGCTGAATCGTGTATTAGAGACATATCTTCGTTGTTTTACGTGTGACCAGCCGAAGAAGTGGCTTCGTTGGTTACCTTGGGCAAAATATTGGTACAATACCGCTTACCAAACTGCAGCCGGAATGACCCCTTTCGAAGTGGTGTATGGAAGGCCACATCCATCTTTACAGCGATTCTTGCCAGGTGAGTGTCGAGTAGCGGCTGTGGCAGATTTTCTGGGGGTCGGGACGAGATGTTGCGGCGTTTGCGAGGTAACCTGGAAAAGGCGCAACAGCAAATGGTTAAACATGCAAATAAGCGAAGGCGGGATGTGGTGTTTGAGGTTGGGGACCGTGTTTTCCTGAAAGTACGACAGTATCGGCAGAATTCTCTAGCGCGACAATCTCATCACAAACTTTCAGCCAAGTTCTGTGTCAATTGTATTGAATACCTCTCAATGTGAGGGTTCTTCCTATTATATAGAACAATTACAAGAATAAATAAGGCAATTAAAATCTACCTATTAATTACAAGATACAATACAAAAACATACCATAACTAGAGAAACTAATTATGGCTAAATATACAAAATATATATGCTATATCTGATTGACATCCCCCTCAAATTGATGTTGGTCGATCAAGAAGCATC